TATTTGTGGAAATTTTGTATATATTTCAATTTTTTTAAAGCAGCAGCCTCAATGGCAGTTATAAACAATTATTTTTTTTACATTTATTAATATTTTCTTAAAATAAAAGCAAGGTTTTTTTTTGGAACAAGTTATATAGAATTCCTATTTATTGTAAATTTTTTTTAATAATTATTTTCTAACTTGCTTTGAAATCTCTACTTTTTTTATTTTTGGTTTCTTTCCATTATTTATTTCTCAGTCGTTTTTTTAATGATTGACACACTCCTGTATACTCTACTCATCAATTTTTTTACAGCAATTAAAGTCGAAAGCTTTTAACAAACCAACTTTTTTTTAAATCCCAAGATTAAAGTATAAAACTAAATTTTGCTTTTTTTCGCGAGCTTAAGATAGGCCTTTCGCATGAAACGGTCTTTTTTTACAAAATTCGCCTTGCTGGATGGCAAACTACCCACTGGGATGTTCAAAACAAAGAAAAGTCAAGTTTGACGGACTGCGTTTTTTTTGTTTTTTTGAGGTTGTTTACATACTTTTGCCATCCATTTTTTTGCATTTTATACCATGTGACCGTTTCATGCAAAAGGCTTTTTTTAGTTATTGTGGCTAGTAACTCGTAAGAGGCTCGAGCTTTTTTTCTATTGTCCTTAAAAAGGGTGCGTCTTTGCGTAACTTTTTTTTTCTTCGGTCGAATTCGTTTCCTACCGATGGTTGACCTTTTTTTTTTCGGTATCGTTCGTGTACGTTGTGATTCTTGTGTTTTTTTTTAATGGATTCAAATGGATAAGCCAACCCCTCCTGATTTTTTTTTTGCATATATCAAACACTTCCGGTAACTTGCAATTCTTTTTTTACCTCCCATGGGTTATACTTCCGTTACATCTGATTTTTTTTTTCAAAGGTAATTCTACTAATCCATGTGGGATATACTGTTTTTTTCAGTCCATTTTATTTAATACATGGAATAAGAACAATTTTTTTTGGCTTAATTACATCAAAATACGATCATAACATATTTTTTTTTTTTTATTGACTCTCCATCATATCATTGCTGATACAACTTTTTTTAAAAGTATTTTCAAATATACAGCAGTTGTCCAATGTATTTATGAACAATGCATACAATCGTCCACGTGATATTTCAACATTTTTTTCCCTTGCTAAATCAGTGTTTATACTATCGAATCAAATTTTTTTTTCCAAAAAATTATTGGATCAAACGATTTAAGTTATTTTTTTTTATTTACAACACGAACCATTGTTCGAAGTCTTTCTTTTTTTTTATCGACCGCTCTTCTTGGCTATACATGCATCAGTACTTTTTTTGAACAATGCGTCCGCCATCTTGAAAAGTGGGACCGTTTTTTTTTTCGAATCACTAATTTTAACTCCTAAAGGATTTAAATTTTTTTCAGCAAATTTCAAGTTATTATTATACGATACAATGATTTTTTTGTTGACTTAGAAAGTACGAAATGTGTTCTAAGGCACTTTTTTTTGATTCCGGTCTCACTTTTCAAGATGGCGGACGCATTTTTTTTCGAAAGTACTGATGCATGTATAAGTCGTTCGCATCCTTTTTTTCTTGACTTCAGGTTTATATTATTTATTCACCTCAGCTTTTTTTCAGGTTAGTTATAAGACTTACATTTAAATGGAGTATTTAGCTATGCAACCAAGACGTTCAGCAAATGCGACACAGACTTTTTTTTTGAGCCAAGTACTTGAAATCAATTTGTTTTTTCGCTGTTTTTTTATGTATAACAATATATATTCGCCTTGTCAATGGACATTTTTTTGATCATGTGGAATATTAAATTTTATTCAGTGGATGATTTTTTTAACCGTTCGAACCATCGGCATCTGATGACATTTGGGTTTTTTTCACTACACATGCACAGGGCTCAAACAGCAAAATTTATTTTTTTGTTGATAAAAATGAGACGTCAAATATTTTATACATATTTTTTTAGAGAATAAAACTATCATCCAACTTTAAAACTTAAATTTTTTTGGTCCACCAGCATCCCTTTCGAGCTTTTGTTTACGTTTTTTTTTAGAAATACATCGTAATATAAGCAAAAACTTACTCTTTTTTTTTCCTTTGTCCTACATGAATGGAGATGATTTAAGATTTTTTTTTTAAATCGATGGATGGAAACGGATTGCAAATGCATATTTTTTTTCACATCATTTTCCATATAATATGAAAAATCTAAAACTTTTTTTCATTGCATGCTAGTGGACCATGTCGCTCTTTAAAAATTTAAAATTTTAAAAATGACCTGCGACGCCCCTCCCGAAAATTCTTGAATCGAGCGGTGACATCGTTTCTGATTTCAACGATTCTTCTATATGAAGACAGTACTTTCTACCTTTATATTTTCAGGCAACGTCGTCTCTTTCCAATGAGATTTCCATTGAAACTGTCACATCATTTTTTTCTCTGCTGACGCTTCATTTTCCTAAAGTAGTTTTCTTTTTTTTGCTATTGTCGTAAACCTTTCTATCTATTGATGTAACTTTTTTTTGTATGCTCTCCATCTTGAATTTCCCGACATTCTGTTTTTTTTTTGGAATAGCTATATGTTTTCTGCTTCTGTTTTTTTTTTTTTTATTCTGGAATTCATGATGGCGAGATATTCTAATATCTTTTTTTCGACAATATAAGAATGTATGGGAATTTAGTGCTGCCTTTTTTTAAAAGCACTCGATCAGCCTCTCTCTCTTKTGTGAGGTTTTTTTTTTAATAAGTCACTAATTTTCCTGTAAACATACGGGTTTTTTTAAATCCGTTACCAATAAGATGGTGGACGACTCGGTGTTTTTTTTGGTACAGAAATGGCTTTTAAACACACAAAATGTGATTTTT